TTTTTCTCCAGCTCGTCAAACGAGTATCCACTCAGTCACTATCGATATACCCGATTAACGCTCCACGGAGAGACGCGTAGGGGTCCGCAATCACCTGCGTAAAGTCCTTGCACTGCAAGTTTTCATAGGGTGGGAGAGCCGCACCGATCTTGATCTCTAAGGGAGCTAGCTGAGGAATCAGTCAGTATCGATATACCCGATTGACGCGCCAGCGAGATGCGCGTACTGTTCCGCCGTCAGGGGGGATAGTCGTAAGCCACTGCAAGGGTTCCTCGGGCTCTGAGATCTTTGCGCTCGGCGATCCAGTGTGTTTGTGGGGGGGGGGGGGGGGGGGGTTTATTCGGTATTTGGAGCGTTGTAGAACCTACGTCACGGCTAGCATCTTCTGATGCACAATCTTCAAGGCATCGACGCGCTTCTCCAAGTCGATATAATCAGGCGGGAGTTGGGTCTGCAGAGGAGGGGACCCTAGATGTCAGCGCGCACTCTACGGAACTTGCATTGAGGTGATGCGCAACGATCCATACCTTATCTTCAGCCTGGCCAAGCTGCTCCTTCGTGTATTGGAAGGTGCGAGAGGCGAATGGGGTGATCGAAGCCCCGAAGGAACTATGAATGGGTCCGGTCAAATCACGGATCGTGGAGTCGACCAGTCCAGCCGGGAACGAACTGGATATACGAGTGAAGCTGGACTTACGTGATATTCTTCCCGAAGTTGCTGAAGTCCATCTTGAAGTATCTCAAGCGCGTATTTCGGGCTTATGAGCGGATTTGCGATGGCTATTTATCGGAAGAGCTCGATCCGTTGCGAGACAGAGTGATTTGTCGGTCGTGATATGAGGTGATTGTTGGCAGTTGGTAATTCAGCAATAGAAGGTTGCCTAAGGTAAGGTAGGACAGTATCATCACAAGCTCTCCAAGGGGAACTACGCAGTCCAGGGATGCAAGGCACGTGCGCTGCACCCCGAATACCTGCACGTGATTGCGCTAATGTGAGCGCCTTCTGCCTTGGCAGGGGTTACATGTTCACGGTCTCCACAGGCTCAACAAGCTCGACAGCGACACGATGTGGTGGCTAGGGTCACCAAGTCGCCAAATTGATACAGACAGTGGCAATCAGCTACTCATAGCATTCTTTTCTAGCTGTCTTATTGCCGCTGTATTATATAGCAATACTTCTAATCCTCTTCAAATTACATATCTCGTCAGTCAGCAGCGCGCTGCTTATCTTCCCATGATGGCTCGACTCGGTAGCAAACATCTTGGTAGTCCTGAAGCTTTGGATCTCCCAAGGACAACTGCGAAGTTGTCCAGAACATCGTCCAATTCGATTCATTGAGCTTGCATGTACCCAATGATCGTTCAAAGTACCACTTATTGACCGGATTGTCTTTCCTGCTTCGCCAGCAAACACCATCAGGGAAACAGCCTCTGACCATGGCGTTGAAAACGACATCTGCCACGCCTCCACTGCCCTGCCGACTTCTCAGGACAGCGAACTTATCCAGGTAAGGCACAAAACGTCCAGTCTCGTACGCAGTCTTGTTATCCAAGCCAGCTGGTTTCTCCCACGTCAATATGGCCCCGCCTTCATACTCTCCAGCAATGATGATTCCGGCGAGATTATCATTGACCCGGTTCAGATAGTGCTGCAGGTCAAGCTTGCGACCAAATGAATCCTCGATCAGGTGTTGCAAGCGAGGCAAATCAATGCATTTGTCCGTAAGTCTGAGACGAGATGCACCTGGCTTTGGAGGAAGCCAGAGTTCCTTCGTTGGGTCAGGAAAGATGGTAAGCGGCATTCCGCGCTTAACCACTGTCGCGACATGCGCCTCGCTGTAGCCTTTGCCTGGGCTCTTTTCAGTCCGCACGCGTTCGAGCGGCAGGGAGGATGAGAAGACTGGCTTGTCGGTCAAGAGATTGTGTATGAGAGGATTCAGTCGGTTTCGAGTCGTGACCGTGGGGAGCGATTCGACGGTCTTAGTAGCAGCCAACGATGGGGTGCTGATGAGCACACTCGACGTAGAGGGAAGCATGGTCAACAAGCGTTTGGACAGATTGAGGTTCTTTGCGTGAATCGCATTTGAACTTGATATCTGATCCGGGTATGATGCTCCTGGCATGTCGCTTGTTTTGAGCGTTTTCATGATGGGTTCAAACTCTTGTTCGAGATTGATGAACCTGTGGCAGGGACCGGACGGCCCCTCGATTGGAGTGCCGCCCAGAGGGTCGAGGACGATGATTCTTTCGATAGAAGCAATTCGTGCAGCCGCACCAGAAGAAGGTCCAGACTGTGGCTCCAAGTCATGTTGATCGATGAACTGGAAACCAGCAAAGTATTTGGTGAGTGCGATGATCGCATCGTCTGCGTCAACGGCATCTGTTGTCCCCAAATCTCGAGATACCATCACCGGAGGTATTATTACCACCTCCTCGTTCTGCAATGCCCTGATGAGCACCTGTGGGAATTGAACCACGACGCTAGAGGGCATGAAGCTGTGGTCATGGGTCGACTTTGGAGAGAAAGATTGATCTGCAACTTTTGCTCCTGGAGGCCCAAAGACGTCTAGTGCCTGCTGGAGTCTGTGGGCCTGTTGTCTATATAGACTTCTGGAGCTGTCTGCTCCACCATCAAGGACGATGACACTGACAAGTCCAAGCTTGCGAAGCTGCGAAAGCGTTTTTGAGATGCCATGCAAAGCATCGCTGTCAAGTAATTGTGGCAAGCGCAGTTTGACGATGGCGAGGTTGAAAGGCTCGTCGAATGAGCTAGTCGAATTAGGCCGGTTCCCTTGTATGAACTGAGGCGCGTCACTGATGGACCGTACGGGCGACTTTGTGGCCCATCCAGACGGCGGTAATGACCTCGAGCGCTGATCCCCGGGTTCCGCATCCTGAGTCTTGGTCAGAGGGGCGTACTTTCTCAGATAACCCTGTGCATCTCGCCTGGTTGCTGATGCTTGCAGCACAGACACAACAATGTCCTGTACGATGATCAGAAGAGATACCTGAACCAGAGCAAAGGTGAAGACTAACCTGCCGATCCTCTGCCCTTCGCTTCTCTTCGTTCTTGGGGCCCAGGTTGTTGCTGTTTGTCGAGATGCACCTATGCAGAGAGATATGCCAATCTTGCAGCTGACACCTCCCATGCCAAGGCGTAGAATTGAACCACAACCCAAGCAATAACTGCAGGTGCAGCGGTCAGAAACGTGTACACATGCACGGGGAACAAGAATTCCTCACATGTGAGCCTTTCCGGCCTCCCTTGTCTGGGCGAAGGTGTTTGAGGGCCATGGTGCTTGATAGAGCATCGCGGGTTATACCAGAAAGCCACTGCCCAGCTTCTGGTAGAAATGTGCCGGTGTGGGATGAGCGCACTCTTTAGGTTGAAAAGGTCTTCGTCCGTCCTTCGTCCGCCCTAAGGCAGTTTCGTGTAATTGGAAAGAGACACGGTGGAACAGACAAACAGCAACTTTCGCATTCAAATCAAAACTCTCACTCAAATCAACAGAGCTGCCGAGGTTGCAACGGAGCAAAGAACGGTGAGTCAGCTCCCTGCTTTGCCCGTGAAGACCATGCCACGGACGATCTGATAAGCGGCCTGCGTTATGGCGCACCGACGCATTGGTGCTTAGCGCCTCAGAACATCGGTATGGGTCATGCTACGTACAAGGCATTCGCCATACAGATAGATCGAGAGGTAGACTCGGTCGAAGGTTGGGATTGAGCAGCTGAAAACACATAAGGGAATTGGCCGCTGCTGTTGGTCGCACGCATCTTGTCAAGGCTTGCTCTATATGAGTAGTAGAGTAGGAACCTTCGGGCTGTCCTGGATGACCTTTACGCAGGTTCTGAGACACTTATGCACAAGGCCTGACGCCCCCATATGCTACTAACAGGGTCACCCATTTCACAGGCCCACTGCTGCCTTATCCACTGGGCATGTCGCCTTGATTCAGAGGTAGGAAGGCGGGCTAGCAGGCGAGCTCGACAAGCTGCACTCGACAACCGCGATTTCGCAACGACGCAATTGACCTGCAGCACTCCACGCGACGTGTCCAGCTGAACGACCTACCACCACTACCTAAAGCATTCCGAAACCATCAACCAAGATGGCTCAAGGGTAATCGTGTTTCCGAAACCCTCGCTCCAGAAAGTAGCTGTCGTACTGATTCGAACGGGTTATACAGCTACAGCATCATAGTCGGGTTCGTGGTCGTGGCTGCTCTCAGCGCGATTGCATGGTTTCTCTCCCCGAAGGGCGAGAATCAGATGTAGGTGTCAAGTTCGCGCCTGGTCGTCATGGCAGACCCGATCACTGACGAAGCACATCTGCAGCATCTGGCGATCCTCCCTCATCCTCGCCTTCGTGAGCTGCTACCTCATGTGGGCCATTACATTTCTGGCGCAGCTACATCCACTGATCGAGCCTCGACGAAGCGACCTGAGGGGGGAGTTCCTGGAGCACTGAGGCGGCGAGTCACCTAAGGGGCAGCTCTGGCGGGGGCGGAGGAGGTGCCGCCACTGTACGATTATCGATGCACACTTCAACGGCGTTAAGGTTTCGATGGCTAGCAGCTCGCTCAAATGCGGGTGAATGAGACGAAGATTGCAAGACCCTCGACTATTTAATTCGCCGTATTCAGACCGAGAACGTGGAGAGCACGAGGCTTTCTATGGCACTATAAAATATTGCTCGAGGGGTTCGATGGCATAGCCTAGTAGATAAATAGGTCAATAGGAGCTTGTATTCTTCGCTGCAGCCTAGGCACGCTGGCGGTTACCCTATCCACTGACGAGCTGGCCAGCCCAGTTCCTCAAATGCACGAGGAGCGCCCACAGGGCCTTGCCGTCGTCTGCTATATTCGTCTCGCCAACCGAGTCAATGCCATGCAGGCCCCCAAGCCAGAGCACGGCGCGGCCTACGGCCCAGCGGGCAACAGCACCGACCGCGGCTAACACTGCAGCGACGATATATCCACAGTCAAGCAGTATTCTTAAGGCCTCAATGTTATTTGCCACCACAGCCCATCCAAGCGATCGCGCAGCTGCGGGAACGTCATAACGCCATATGACCATCAGGATCGGGAAAAGTTTGGTTGAAGACGACACAAGAAGGGCCGTAGACACTGAGTTGGGCCGTGGATAACGGCGGATCGTGCCGAGGACAACCAGTGGCGACAACGGCGACGACGTGAGGAAACGGATGCTCATGTGGAATGCCAATGTAGAGAGCGCGCAGAGGACGACTGCGCTCCTGTTAGCAGGTGATTCGCGGAGAGGGCAGGATTATGACGTACGAAAGAACATGTATTGGTAGACAATTGACTGTTGAGCTAGGCTACTCAGCTCATTACTTGTCTTCGGATCCGTCTGTTTCTCAACACGTGCCCATGTCAGGTACACGTCAAAAAGCAGGAGAAGAATTGCCAAGCGAGAGATGGAGGACTGAGGGACCAAGAGACTGAGGGTTAGATGGGTTCCGTATTTGAGAAATCGTCGAGTCGGATTCACATACATCGAAGCTGTCATCCTCCTTCATGAGAGTGTTGTGTAAAAGATGACGGTAGACCTGCGGTTTGATCAAGACGAGATCGATAAAGAGGACGACAAAGTCATGCTCTACATATTTGTCGCAGAACCGACCACAGTTCTTGCACACCGTCAACCGGATATTATGCCCACTGGACTTGTCTCCAGCACCAGAGTACTGCGTCCACAGCGTCGGG